TCTCTTTAAAGAAAAAACTAATGCTAAAAAACAAAAAAAATACAAATTTAAAGTTAAGTAATCTGTAACTTTTAAAGTACAATTATAGAAGTAAGATAATTCAGCTACTTCTAAAATAAATGAAGAATAATGAATTAGCACTCTTATCAAATTATCAAGGGTATGACTTACAAATAATAAAAACCTAAATACACTCTTGTGTCACCTTAAAAATATATATTTTTACTAAAAAATAATATAGTATTAAAATTAAATTGAAAATTGCCAAAGATAAAAATAATAGAGATTCTTGAAATTAAAATAAAAATAAGAAAGGCAATGACAAGAGTAAAGAATGCTTCACTTTTTCTTCCATATATACTATCTAATTAGAAGCTATAAGATAACATTTTTTATAACCTCTATCATGTGTCCAACTTACAAGACACATATATAACTTACAAGACAAGTTTCTACCATATGTACCACATGGCCAACTTATACCATAAGTTGCTAATGTGTATAACAAGTGGCTAACTTCTTGGCTAAGTTTCTAACCTACCAATCAAATACAAACACGTATAAAGTCAAAATCATAACTATAAAGCTTCTCCATAAGATATTATCAAATCTACCTATATTTACCCTCTACCTAATACTTCTTATTTAAATAATTATATATGTCCATAAAACTTAAGAATGTGTATTAGCAATAAACATATTATATATAATAAATAAAAATGGTTATAAAAATTATACATATTGATCTACTCTTATTTAATTTATAAAATTTAAATTTAAAAAATTAAAAATTAAAAATTAAAATCTTTTTAAAGAAGACTAATGACAAAAATAATAACATAATATATATATATATATATATATATATATATATATATATATATATATATATATATATATATATATATATATATATATAAAATTTTATAAAAAAATAATTAGATTTAAAAATAAATTCTTAAAAAAAAATTTAAAATAAGAAATTGAAGAAAAATAAAGATGATATAATTTTAAAAATTAGATAAATGATACATGAAAACATTTAAAAACTTTAAATAGTGGTTTTTTGTTTTTATTTTTGTAAAATAATCTTTAAAAAAATCTACAAAAATGACATAATGGGAGCTATTTAATAGTGGATGCCTCTCTTTTATTGTGTGGACATCCATCCATACTTCACATCTATATATACACATAGTAATACCATTTTCATATCATTATTTTATAGTTCATGTCCTTGCCCTCTTATAATTGTAGTAAATTTTTATCAAAATATTGGTCTTTTGATAAATTTTAATATTATCTATTATAATTAGGATTTTTATTATATTTTATAATTATGATTTTAAGAAAATTCTATACATAAATAAAAACTTTAAAATTTATCAAGAAACCAAAATTTTGATAAAAATTTAATAAAATTATAAGAGGGCAAAGGCATGAACTATATAATAATGATATGACAATGATATTACTATGTGTATGTAAGAGTGTGTGGCTTAGTGGAGAAAGAAGGAAGAGGGTTTTCACACAATAAAAAGAAGATATCTGTCTAATAATTCTCTATTTTTTTTAATTGTGTTAATTAATAATAGATCATTAGATTAATAGCAAAGAAATCTTAAATGCATAGAATAAAAAAAATAGAATAAAATTATAATAAATTTTTATTCCATTAAATAATAAAATATATTATTCAATTATATTTAGATATTTTTATTAGATCAAATAATAGTGGTTTTTTATAAGATCAAAAATAATCAATAGCAAAAAATATTTTAAAAGAAAAAAATTAAGATATAGAATGATATTAATTTTAATTAATTACAATATTCAAGTATTGAATTAAAAAAATAGATGTTAAGATATTTTTTTAGATGTTAAGGTGACTTACAAAATAAAGACATGTAAAAAATGCACTAGTTTTATCTTAATTATTTGATTTATAAATGATATAATTTTAATGAAGGTCAATATAAATATATCAAAAATATAAACTACAACAAATGTGTATTGAAGGTGTTAACTTTATAAGAAAAAAGTATTAAATATAGCTTATAAGAGCTAATTAGTGATTATATTCATTCAAAGAACTACAATAAAAAGAAATTCTATACTTTTTTTAATATACCACAATCTTTTTGATAATAAAAAAAGATTAAAATTTTATATTAAGACTAGTATTATTATTGTGTATGTGTGTCTATAGAAGTAGCTGGACCAATGCTTTTTTATAGCATAAAATTGTGTAAGGATTATAACAAAAATTTCTAAATAATATTAAGACAAGCTACAATGGTAAAAAAATTTAAGATTACATTATTTTTTTAATAAAAATAATTTTTTTAAAGATCTAAATTTTAAAAACTAATCAAATAGAAATTAAACTATAAATATAATATAATAATTAATATCAAATAAAAAGAAGATAGACCAAAAGTATATATAAAAATAAGCAACAATAATTAGAAGCTAATATAGATTCGATTTAAAAAATAATAATAATAAAATCAAAGAAGATCATTTAGTTTAAAATATAAAATGATCTTTTTTTCAAAAAAAAAATAAAAATATCATAAGAAACTTTACTTGTAATTGAATCTCAGTTGTTAGAAATGTGGTATTAAAGGAGGTTAAAAAAAACTAGTTTGAGAAGTTATAATGTGAAAAGTCTTCTTAGAAGGTGTTAGACATATATTAAACCAACAGACGATTTAAAATTAAACTAGTAATTTAAGAAGACATTTTTTTGGTGATTTATTTGAACTTCATTTCAGTGATTGATGTGGGTATTATAGGATTTTTAGACTAAAAATAAATAGGAAATCTCCATAAAAAATATATATTAAATTGATAATAATTAATTAATTAAAATTAAAATTAACACTTAAAGTGGCAAGAATATGTGTAACATATTCAGATTGAAGTGATAACAATCATGGATAAGCAAAGAATTAGAGCAAAAAAAATAATTCGAAATGCAAATAAGAGATATAGTAGAATAAGATAAAGTAAGAATTTAGGGGAAAAAAATTACATAAAAAAATGACACACATTATTAAAAATCTACAGCTCAATTTATTAAATTTTAGAACCATTTCTACTCCTATCTAATAAAAATATAGATAATAAATAAATAAATTTTTATTTTTTATTTATTTATTAACTTAAATCTTAAAATTACTATACTTATTTTTCAAATTTAGTAATTTATTTTAAATATAGATTTTTTTTCAAAACTAAATTATTTAGTATATCTACCAAAAAATTATCTATTATTTTTTCTTTTTAAATTAAATCAATATTATTTATAAAAATAAAGCAAGTATTATATTTATTTTTAATTATTTTTAGTTGAAATAAAAATATCAATATATGTTTTAAAATAAGTGTCCAAAAGTTTTGCAATAAAGTTATCAATTGTATTGTTTTAAAAATATATTTGTGAGAGTATTGGTAATAATTTAAAAACTTATATATATATATATATAATAAAAAAATCTATAGAATCTTCTTAGTTTTTTTTTTTACATAACAAAAAAGAATAGTTTATAAAATTAATTTATTTAAATCAGTTAATTATTTTTTGCAAATGTTTTTTATTCAAAACTGAAGATCATATCTAAAATACAAGAAAACATTTTCTTCTAATTATAATACGATTTTTAGTCTTTAATTTTATTTTTAAATTTAAAAATGGTAAACAATTTTAAAACATTACTAAATAACATGATAACAATAATAATTTGCCACCTTATTAAAATTATTGTTCTTATTTTACATCATAAAATAACAAAAGTTGAAATCAAATATTTAGATGGGAGAGTATAAGAAAAAAATATTCTAAACTGACTATTTTAATACATAAGATTTATACTATACACATTATGTGTGTGTATGTAGACATATACACAAAAATAAATAATTTTTATTCGTAATGTTTACAACATAATAATTTTAAAATTTTCTAAATTAATAGAATGTTCTATTATTTGATATAAGCACCAATTATGATATTCTATTATTTGATATATGCACAGTATATAAAATTTAATATTATTAAGTAATATATGCTTGTCATAAAAATATTAAGCAAGGTCAAATTTATAATAATGTATAATAAATTTATACACTTACCAAATATTATGTATAAATTTAACGTATAATTATGTATAAATTTAATAATTATGTATAAATTTAATATTATAAATTACTTAATATTTGGCAAGTGTAAAAATTTATACTTACTTGCCAAATATTAAGCAAGGTCAAATTTATAATAATCTAATGTTGATTTTTATTAATCTGTTTATATTGATTGTTTTTACAAAATCGGAATTTACAACATCCAAGTTAAATATTTGTACAACAATTTTTTAGTGATAAAATATAATTTTAAAATTAAATAGAAAATAAATGATATAATTTTAATTTCAATAAGTATAAATATATATGTATATATATATCACAATAGAAAATATTTTTTAATTACTAATTTAATATATTAAAGTTATCAAAACCAAGTGAAAATGTGCAAATCAACCATACTGTCACTGCACATAGTAACTAAAAACACTTTGCCAATTCATAATATTTTTGCAAAATTAACGACATCAACAACCTCAACAAATAACCTAAAAGTGTCTAGCCAATCAAATGCCATCTTTATGTGGTGCACATGAATCTCAGGCTTTTTCACCCAGTGTGTACAGCACAATTCTTACATGCAGACATTCCTTCTACACAAGGCCAGTTGTATACTTTTGTGGCTCTTAGGTGTTCCAGTTTATGGACACTTAATGTTAAACTTCCATGTGAAAAATCAAATGGGTTAAGGACATTAAAAGTTCCTCTCAACACCAGCATCATCCATAGAACTCAAGGCTAGAAGTACTTCATTATGGCCTTGCCAGAGAAGAAGAAAAAAAAATCAAAATTAATCTAGTCTAAGAGCAACACAAAACAAGGTTAATTTTTGATGTTTGGAAGGCTCAACTGAATTTCGACTAAAATTTGTTACTCCACACATGACGTGAGCCTTGAAGTTGCATTAAATTGAGTATTTTTCACTACAATGATTTACAGTACAGGACCATGCACAGCAAGAGTAAAATTTAGGCTAACACATTACAAATGTAGTACAAATAAATTTGTATTACATGAATAACTAATATGTTGGAACTTATAGCAACCATCCTCAGCTTCGGGAATGCAGCTGCTTATTGCCATTTCCACAACAGAAACACGATACCCACTCGAATTGCCTTCAACAATTTGACCGCAGTTGCAAAATACCATGGTTTTAGGTCGAGGTGAATTTATCAGCTCCGGCATCCAAAGCAGGTACAGGAGATGGGCACGAAGGAACACAATCCAAAAGGTAACCCCCGCACACCACACCGAATGTTGTAGCAGCACACTGTGGGTAGGCACCACCTTCTAGACCGATCACAGCATGTGCACGGAGAGCATTGGCGGAAGTCGCCGAGTATTCGTCGAGTGGAATTCATGATATGCTTGTGAAGAGTGTCAGAGGCTGGGAAGAGCTGCAACTCAGTCCCATTCGAGAGTTTCACCACTCCGCTTGCTAATTGGGTGATACCCCATTCTTCATGAAAAGCCTGGAAATGGAGCGTAGGAGTGAGAGGTAAGCATAAGGATAAATAGGATCATAACTGTGATGGAAAAGAATCTTACAGTACACGAATGATGAGGGAGATTATCAACAGAAAATTTTGGAGGACATATAGGGTAGATACATAAGCTAAACAAGAGCCTAGAAATTAGGTGTAGGGAAGGCTGTTTCAATGGAAGCTACTGCTTCTGGATTATATTCAGCAATGGGGGGTCAATAAGTCATTAATTAGCTGGTTCAAATAAGCTTGTCACACCAATGGGTACTAAAACTAAGTCTAACTTAGACACACCAGAGGTTACCGGGGAAAAGAGAAAATAAAATAAAATATGCGATAAGATAAAAATAAATATAAGAGAATATAAGAGAAGAAAAGAGCGGATTGAAGATTGAATGGAATATAATATTTTGGAAAATTATGTTCACAATGCCTCCTTCCCTACTACTTGAAAGGAGGGTCTGCAACAAACTCATGACACATACCATAAACTCAACTTTTACATGATTCTTTGGAAGCTGGTCAGAGCGCATTCTTAAGGGAGGAACTTTTTAGAAGGGTATTAGTACCTCAACCGAGGAGTTGGCGCAGTCCTCGTCCTTATGCTTCTGAGACCTCTGCTCACCCATTTATGAAAACTTCATATAAATCAAAGCGAAAAGAAGACTCGAGCTAACCACACTGAACTGAATTTCAGGTCGATCTCAAAACAATCTACGCATGGGGTACACCACATTAAACAAACCCAGTTAACAAGCGATTTCAGAGCAAGAAGAGTTCCTTGTGAATGCCTCAAAAGGAGAATGGCTCAAAACAGCACCACAGGCGTCCTGTGCAATCAATAGTCCAAACAACGATTAACTTTTTCAAAGAATCGCGCTGACTCAAAACCTCTGACGTGAATTCCTTATTCTTGTCTCCATGCCCGTTTTTTAGAAGTTCTAGCGTAATAATTAACTACATTTAACTACAGAAATAAAAAAGAGAAGAAGAAGCGTATGAAGAACAGATGTAGGGTACATGGAGGGACGCGGATTATTTACCTTCGCCTGTTGTGATAAAGGTACTGCTGTTGCACCTACGGTTAGGAACAGAAACTTGGTCACAAGCTTTAAAACTTTCAGAGTGACAAAACCAGATTTAGCAAGCACTCAAATCAAAAAGCTGACTCGAATCATACGTAACAGCTGCATTAAAAATTAACTTACTCCAGTACCACAAGTGCACGTGCCCCTAAGAAATTCCAAACTGGCCACACAATGCTACAAATCGAACTCGAAAGGAATGTCATCCCCAGCTAACACAATGCAGGAGAGCAACTGATCGGTTCTGCTATTGTGGTCACTCATAACGATATCAATCAAATAGCTGTCACCAATGCACTCTTCGGGCAATACATCGTAGTTGGGGTCACATTCAAAAGACTAAAGCGAAAAGATTTTGATTGGGATAGAGAATGGAGGAGAAATACACGGAAGAAAGTGTGAGTTTCGCTTGGGTGGGCACTGACCTTAAATAACAGAATTTACTCCCAAGACTTGTTACTTGTCAAAAAAATAGAGAGAATATGGAAATTCTTGTTCCGACTTAATGGAATAGAACACTTAACATGAAATCTTCAACGCAATACCTGAGAGCAATCCAGCAACCAGAAGCAGATGCAGCATCGAGTGCGCAGCCATTTTTATTCCCATCTTCATAGTGCTTTACGTGGAGCAACTCTGCGTTGTTTTCTACCCAAAAGCCTTGAGTCTTCACAAGCCAACCTGCACACGGTACAACACCCACGGTTGGTCCGAGCACAGGAGGAGATAGCTCAAATGTTTGGTGTGACGGCGAAAATGAAGAATCAGCAACCATGAGGTTCTTTGAAGAATGCAGGACTCGAAGGAAACGTTGAAGAAGGACTTCCTTGCTCCAACCAGCGAAATGACATGGAATGAGAAGGGAGGCGTGGAGCACTGACACAACGTGAGGGACGACATAGTCAATTCACAAAACCTTGGACTTGACCCCTGCCCACCTTCGGAACCCTGAAAACATTCTCAGCCTGCAATGCTCAAAGGTGTTCGTCACCATGTGACCAACCTAACGCCTGCAGTGTGAGCACCCAAATCCCCAACATGCAATCCAAGAAGAATGGACAATGTGAAGCAGACTCTCAGATTTCAGTGTAGCAACAGAAGTTTGGTGGTACTGCAGCAAGAATCCCAGCCACGAAGGACTATCAGTTACCACCCCAACCTAATAAATTTCCGAATGCAGGATTAATAAGGAGATGTGGACCTCTCGTTATCTTTCCCTCATTCCAAGAATTCTGAAACCAGGGTTGAGAACTAGGTCCTCGTCGTAGAAGACTCTGCAGCTGCTAGAGATTGACGCAGACGATCAGCTCACGGGCATTGTAACACACACCCAGACACCAATACCACTAACTTCAAAGCACACACAGACTCCAAAGTAAATAAGACTGGTGACGAAATAAGGCCTAATGAGAACTGCAACCTAATCTCATGACAAAGTGCGACTCCAGACCTGTCAAGTACTTCAACGCAGCCGTGCAGACATCACAACGAGCTGCCAATGAGCTCAGGGTTATGTTAGTCTACCGCCATAGTCCTCAAACCAAAACACCCACCAAGAGGTTGACGAAATACAGTAAAGATTTGGAGGAGGCTCTTCCACCAACTCAGTTTGCAGTGCAAAAAAGCTGGATTTGATGGGATGCAGTACCACTAATTGTGATAAGCAGCTTGACTAATCAGTTGGCTTGGTCAAAGTCTACAGCTGCAATTAAGCAACAGTTTTTATTGCACTAATTTCTATGCAGGAAAAAATGGGTTCATGCATGTAGATTTGATCAACACGTACATGTGGGTTGGTTTGCAGTTGAAGTTTTTGTTAAGATGCGTTGCTGTTGATGATTTTTAACTGTGTGACTTTGAGCAACCAGTTTGCTAATTCAACCTGACTTTGCAATAATTATAATTATTGTTGTTTTAATAATAGACCATAATTCTCTTCAACTCATGGATTCTTACCCTTGTTTCTTCAAATGATCCACAACTGCTTGGTCATTTATCTGTGTTTGATTACTTGAAAAGCATGTATGTTATCATCTTTTATTAGATATGTTTTTTTCTTTCCTTTTTTTACATAATAATATATGGTAAGAAATTTTTATTTAAATATTTTTGTTGCAGCATTCTGACTACTTCTGCAATATTTGTACTCTCTTACATCTTTAATTTTATTTGTCTCACATGCCTTTGCTTTACAATAAGTTGTTAGAAAATATAACACAAAAGATTCTACAAAATCTTATTAATATAAAATCTTCACAATATTAGTATTTTCTGTTTTATATATATATATATATATATAGATGAATTTTTACTTATATGTAAATACATATGTATATATTTACTTATATGAATTCAAACCCTTCAAATGATAATAATAAATATATATTGTACATATGTTTGTGCATTCAAAAAAATATATTATTGATATGTTTCAAATAGCAAAAAAAATGTAAAAACTATTAATAATATTATTAGGCAATTTACCAAATCTTAATGCTATTTTGAATAGTTTTATAACCATGTTGTTGAAGAAAAAAATAAGTTTTAGATAATTATTATAATGCAATATGATTTTTATTATAATATTCTTGTTCTATAAAATCTATCAAAAACACCAAAAATAAAATACAATAAAAAATAAAATCTTATAAATGATTTTGAAATTTATATTCAATTCTAAAAATTTACTTCATGTTAATATTCATTTTCTAAGAATTGTTTTGTATTTATAGTACTGATATAGATAGGCAATTATTTAAATGATATAATGATATTCATATTTTTAGTATTAATATTCTGGTTAAGCTTTTTTATTATATTCTAGATTTTAATATCTGAGCAAGTAAGTTTAACACTTTAATATTTTAAAACACCAGTTTGATATTGATTTACCTCAATTACATTTATCAAAATAATCTTTAAGCTGTTTAAATTGATATTTTTTTAACCATTCAGAATGAAAAAAATATATGTATTGAAAAAAATATATATATATGTATATATATTAATCTAATTTATTTTATTTTTATCAAAATAAAACACAATTTTTAAAAAATCCATCAAATTTTTAATTTTGATATTCTAAAATGGATTGTATACATAAAGGCAAGATTAGGGTGATTATTAATTTGAATGGTATTTTTATACTTAAATCTGATAGCTTCTATAATAGGTAATTTTTGAATCTTAAAATATTTATCTTTCAAAACATATCCATCAAAAATACATATATCAACTAAAAACAGCATACACATAGTTCAAGAAAACTTCTGTAGGATTAATAAATTTGCTCAAATACGATGGAATGGAATTATAATTATAATTTTTGTTTGACTCATATTTTTTGTCAGCTATAATCTTGAATTGGGAGTTACAAAATTGATGCATGCAGACTATATGCAGTTGAAACTCCATTCAGGAAAAAAGAACAAAAAAAAAAAAAAAAAAAAAAAAAAAAAAGCTGATTTTCTATTAAAGTGAAAAAAGTTCTTTCCAATCGTTTAAAAAAAAAATGTGGTTTAATTGAAAGGTCGCAATTATTCCAAAGTTATGACCAGTCCAGAAAGTACTCACCACTCTTGTGCCCTCCAATCCAAGTTACCTCCTTTTGAGCACCACCAATATGTTTGCAGTAAGAATAAATAAATAAATAAAACAAAACCATTATGTTGCAGGTTGGATGAGAGTGAATCAATCCCCTGAGACACCTCAGCCTCTGGTGGCCAGGTTCATTTACTTGTGTAACATGCTCTCAACAGGTGTGATTGAAGGCGCAGTAAAATCAAAATTATTCCTAGTCTAAAACTTCCTCTAACTATCATACAAAAAATAAATAAATAGGAGAAAGAGCAACAACAAAGTTACACCCACTGTGCCAACAAATGGAGGTGATGCTGCTGTGTAGGTTCACAGAGTGGTCACAAACCATCTACAGCTGTGACCAAGTCACAAGTAAAAAAACACATGATTAACATATATACATATATATGTGTGTGTGTGTGTGTGTGTGTATGCGTGGACAAATATATAAGTTTCACTTTTGTTACTCCTTTTTCAACTCCTGGTGTTGTAGTACTGAAAGCTGCAGCCACTGTAGGCACCCTTGCCATGTCATCAATCACTATGAGCCTGGCAGAATCCTTGTCCCATACTCATCACCATCTTGCGACAAATCATACAACATCAATACAACATCCACAAACATACTAAAATAATAAATTAAAAAATAAAAATGAAGAAGAAGAAGAAGAAGAAGAAAAATAGATAGGCCATTGCTGAAGTTGTTGACAAGCAAGATGAGGCATCATGCTCAGTCCCCATCCTGACCTGTGAACAGGCCAAGGGTCAATCTTGTTGCCCCCCTTGTAAAAAAACAGATAATTTCCCTAGATATGAAAAAATAAATTAAAGCTTAAAAAACAAAAAGTTAAAAAGTAGAAGAAATGAAAACCATATGAATAATTGTTTTAAAAAAAAAGTTTGACCCTGCAATGTCAACAAGGTGTGCATCATGTGACATTGCTTGTCATCAGCTGTCTGTCACACACCTTCTGATGTGGATCTTTTCCTCTCCTCCTCCTCCTCCTCTTTGCAATAGTAGAGCTAGAGCTGCGATTTGGGAAACACAGAAGTTGTTGACTACTACTGTTAGTATGGCCAAAGCCTGGATAATAATGTGGAGAATACCAACACCAGGTGTATATTTTGTGATGTGGATTGCAATTCACACAGTCTCTGTGGGATGCATTTATAGTAGTCAGACAGACGTGGGTTTTTGTTTCCTTTCTTGTGGTGCAACTAATTGCTTGCTTGTGAGTGGGGCAAGGTCAGGTAGTTTGGGTGGGGGGGGTCATTCATTTCATTGCAGAGAGGTTGAAATTCATCAAAATTTGAAGACATAAGGTAGTATGTAACAATGGCCATGAATGGGACCCCTCGGGATAACTGCAAATTCATTCATGGTGGTGTACACCCTCTTCATTCAATACCTTGTCATTCTTTTTCAATTTTGACATAGTGGTGGTGGAAGTGGTGGGAAATTGCATCAAGAAGTACCTGTGGGTAGTAGTTATGACCAATTTCCCTTTGATGGTGAATTTGATCCAGCCCAATTCCACCCAATCAATCCCAAGTTCAGTTATGCTACCTCTTTTATGAACTTGGTGACACGACAGGATTGAAGCTTGTTGAGTCTCACAATTGCAGCAGCAGCCTTATCGACAATTGCTGCTGATATGAACCTCACAAATTAATAGCTAGTTATCTTGAATTTGCTAAGTTGAGAGATAGAGTATGTATAACCATGATTTTACTTATTTTTATTTAATATTTTCCCAGAGTTTTTTTTTAAATTAATTTATTTTTTTGGTAGCTTTCAGTGAGTACGGTTCTGTGGACTTCTACTTGGTTGGATCATCAACATCAGCTAAAACCATAGAGGCCTACCACATGGGTATGGAGTGATACAACCACATGTATGAAAGAGACCCATGTAGGAAAAATGTGAACCCTAGTTTTGTCAACTCTTTTTTCCAGCAATTTAACCAACTCATTTGCCTGGCTGCTCATGGGCATCAAAACAAGTATGTAGTTCACTTGAATATACAGCAGTTGTAGAGCAGCAAATGAGAATTGACAACCAGAGCTTTGGAATACTACCATTGCAAGGCACTCAAACCATGAGTGATTCTGAGGACTGTTACTCAACAAGATTAGAGCATAATTAGCAAGTTCCAATTTAGGCCTTGTGAATCTCTTTTTATCATCTAGATTGTTGTATTTTTTTATTTTTATTTTTATTTTTTTTTGAGATGATTACAAGAGAACAATAACTTATTACTATTGCCAACATTAACATATGCCTTATTTTGGAACTAAGAGCATTTTCATGTACAATTTGCATTAATTGACCATAATTATTTAATACTTTTCTACACAAATATATACATACATTTTTAGAAGTTAAACTTTTAAATGTAATGAATGAATTTCACAATGCTTTAAGTTACAAAACCTTTCAATTATAAGGACCATATTAAAATACAATTCTTTAGGTCTTGTCAAGTTCTTATCAGTGCTGAGCAGTGAGTGTTCTCATGTACATGTTAGGTACATAGGAGAGAACTGGCCATTATGAGGTGGAAATGCATGAAGCAGTGGGAATACATGCTTAGTTGCTGTTTGTTTGTTTGTTTATTTATTTATTTATTTATTATTTTCATGTAAGATTGAAAACTTCAAGAGTGGATAATTTCTTTTAAGGAAATTGGCTTGCTTTGTGAACCATTGTTTAGTAGGTCTTTGTCCTTGTAGTCTTATTCTAGTAGAATTTTTGCAAACAATTCTTTGTTTCATGTTGGTTGGATTTAATGGATTAGCAAAGCAAGTGATAGCAAAATCGTTGATTGGAATATTGGTATATGGTTGC